GAAAAATTTATTTTAATATATGGAAAATAAATCACTGCTAAATTCAGTCCGGTGAGCAGCGTAGAGCTAACAGTGTACTGTGTAAAGGAAAGCTAACAGCCTCTGCTGTTTTAACGTGTACATTTGGGTATATCTGTAATGACCCCTGAGCCAAAGGCATTGTGCACAACATACATACGTGCTGACTTGTCCTGCTACGCTCAAAAGTTTTAAGACCAGTTTGTCCATGTGGATTCTTGTTTTGATTTCAGCTTTCCTTATTCACATGAGTCATGTCAGGTGGATGAAGGTATCAGCGTGATTACCGAAACATTTTTCAGTGTAAAAAAACCCCAGGAATTGGTGGATTTTAGTAAGACCAGGATGAAGACTTGGTTGAAACCAGTTTTGCTGTAATGTTCTTCAGGGACCACCACATGTCTTCACAGCCCTCGGCCGATTCCCTCCATCCTCTCCCACGCAGGGTCCGCGACAGCTTCCCCAAGGCTGTAGTGCCTTTCTTTTCATAGATCTGCCCTGAAACGAGTTTCCACTTTGCTGCGTCACTCTGTAGAGATGCAGTCAAACAGTTTGTATTATTTTCACTTGGGAAGTCTCATTTAACAGTGGCAGTGCTGCTCAGTTATGACAAAAGGACACAGTTTTGTGGTTTTGCCCTATGATGCCGATATGGTGCTGTCCTCTAGGTACCATCAAAGGTATGCACATCCTGAGGCAATTATCTGAGATGGTTACTCCTTGGCCTGTGGTTATCACAAACAGCAAAGTTACCGTTGACAAGGTGACCTGTTCACAAGGTCGCACACCGCAAAATGGGGCTCGGGCACCTGCCGAAAGGCCTTGGCCATAGCGCCTGCTCTTGCTGTGATCCGCCAGAGCCCAAATCCGACTTTCAGATTCTATCAACGGCATCCCTGGTTGCTCAGACGTTTAGGCTTGAACCACATTTCACCTGAAGAGAGGTGGGCAGGAGTTTTTTGACCTATCCTGCTTTAAAACCTTGTTTTTGATTGTGGCTGTCTTCGGGAACAGAACTGCTGACCGTTGTAACAAGTATGTTTGTTTTTAAAAGTGTCCATAATTGCAGCGCTGCGTCATCTCCATGGTTATTTTAAAAATTCTCTTTGTGACTTTACATTATTAATAAGGTGTCTACGGAATTGTCTAGAAAAAAATCCTTGCGTTGATCTTGATTGCAACTTTTATCGTTTCCTGTCGTAATTGGACCAAGTCCTCAGCTGGAGTAAACTGATGTCACCTCTGCTCTGTTATTTCTTTTCATGTTATTGGCACTATTGTCACCAGCTGTCACGATAAGATATCCACAGTATGTCAGTAGGGAAGAATCTCTGTTTTGAAGGACAAACTAGATAAAATGACACAAGAAACGGAGCGTATATGCTGTGTGCTGGTTGGAAGCATGCTATAATGAGCTGGAAACTCAAGTCTGATCACAAATACGCCATACGAAGCATGGGTGAATTTAAGCGGTTGCTAACTATAATTCTACAACTAAAATTAGCACTGGACGACGGATTATATGTGAATTTGTTAAAATGCAGATACATAAATGCCACAGATTAGAACAGGAAAATTTTGTTTGATGCTTTCCTTCTACAGATTTCAAAGTGCGTTGCCAAGGCTAGTATCCCTGTTGCCATTTTAAAAATAGGAAAAGAGAAACACAGAGGAGGAGAGCGCCAGTGTCCCTCAGCCACACAACGGCAGAGCCACGAGGAGGACTCAGGCCTCCTGAATCACTCTGCAGTGTCAACAAAAGAATTTAAATAATCTGGGTACATTTGCATAGCATTCATAAAACAGATTACCCAGTAAAGGTGAATGTAATGAAAGCTGGTTTTGAAGAGAATTAGCTTGGTGTGCCATCAAAATCATGGGTTGGGAAATAGTTCACAAGAATCCGTGGTATCCAAGGGAACTTATTTGTATGGACTAACACACGCAAATCCTATTAACATAAGAGTTACTTAAGCACATCCTCCCAAATTGATATTAGACTTTGCTCGTTGCAGGCGTTCGGCAGTGCAGTGGCAAGGCGAGCCACATTATTGTCATTCTGAAGTCATATCCTAATCATAGAGCAAGCACATCAGTGCCACTCCAGAGGCAGCGCAAAGCCCTCTAATAGAGAAAGCAGAATGAGGTCATGCGTGGCCCACTGACTTGATTGCAAGTGGCAAGACAAAGGTGCCCCGTGTACTTCCGAGGTAATAACTTTAAGGATGCAATTGGCCGAGAAATAGAATCAGTCTTTGAATGCTATAAAAGGCACTAATGCATTAGTTGCTGTTTGAATAGTATTTTGTAATACACACCGTGTCAAAGGACTGGGAATCTAGAGCTGCTGCTGCTAATTAAAAAAGCTATAAGGGTACAACACCTTTGCCCTAACGTTAACCTGGATTGTTCTTGTGCACAGTAACCTTAAAATACGTCCCACAGGGTACACGGTCCTTCACGTCACACGTCTCTCTCTCTTTGCTGTCTAGGGTAGGGAACACAGGCCTGATCTCCTCCTGTTTGTGGGCACTGAATTTGACTTACAGCTTTATGGCACACAGGTTTTCCCTTTTTAATCAGAGCGAAATATCAGCCTTTACTTCTTTGAATAGTAACTTAGAGCACACCCTGACACAGTGTGGGAAAGAGAGAGAAAGGTAGGAAAGAGATGCTTTTTCTTTATAGCCATAGAAAGATGAGCTGTGTCAGATATCCTAGGTTTCTGTACGTGCTGACAGGCAAGAAGTGGAAGAACAAGGAGACAACCTGAGCAGGGGTGGTTACGTTATAATATTGCATGGTGTTTGAGGGCCTGAGTATTCTTATCCTTGAGACACCATGCATGTCTTGTGTGCATGTAAAATTCACCATTGCAGATTTCAAACCTGTGTGATTTTTTATCAAAGTTTATTTTCAAATGTAAATGTATAACCTGGTTAAATTTGAAGTTTTGGGTTGTTCTTTAAATGAGTTTTATACTTTGGATGCCATTCAACACTTGACTGTGTTCCGAAACCAACGATGAATTTGCCCTATCCATCTTAGCCTCGTAATGGATAGATAGATCATATTAAGAGTTATCACCTCAAAGACAGATCAAAGTCTACTTCCTTTAATATTGACTTTCTTTAAAAGGACCTAAATATAACCCGCTAGCTAAATAATTCAATTTTGGGAGGGGGGGAGGAACTGAGTGCATGTTTATACAATAGACCACAATAACTCGGCAGTTTTATGATTTGTTGGAGAAGAAGAAATCCTTCTCACATTTTCTGTTTAAGGAAATGTTACTCTTAGACTAAATGAGCCCAAACCTGTCAGCCATCCAAATGGACTCTTCACTGACATAAGTGGCAAACACTTGCATGGATCACTGACAGGAACAGCTCAGCTCAAGGAATAGAAACAATGAGCTAATCTGAATAAATGGTCCATTTTCAGATGTTTCACAATGTCGTGCAGGGTGGTTTTTACATTCCCTACTTGACTCACTCTGTTTGGTTATCAAAGGTGTTGAAAGATCGGTAACTCACACAGGGCTTTCAAATTTAGTCGTCTTGTTCTCTTTCTGTTCTTTCCTTAAATATCTCTAAGTTTTGGAAAATACACATATCAGCGTGCACACATGTGATAAAATATACGTTTAGTTAATGCCAGGCGATTCCGGGGAGTTCCAGAGCAGAGTGGCAATGCTGTGTCTCTGCATTTCATGAGAATGCAAGGAACAAGGTCCTAGGGCCATATCCTGCCATTTGGCCATATGGACTAAACGGTGCCTGGGGCCAGTCCAGTCCAGAGGATTTCCCAATAAGCTAGAAGCCAGGCACAGCTGCTGTAGGACTGCTCGGGCTCTTCTAGCTTCTGTCCTCAGTCACTTCTTCTGTTCTCATGAAACATCCGTGGCTTATATCACGCTAAGCGTTGTTCGACTGGTTATCTGGTTTTTTGCACCTACATTTTAGATGGGGAGGAGGCAGAAAGACCTCAAGGCTGGAAACCACAGATCCCATCTTCAACTTCTGGATGTGGAATGCCGTACTGTGAGTGACTAGCTCTCATTGATGGCTCTAAAAATGGCTATACCTGTATTTGGAAAAGACTTTTCCTCGCTCTTTGTATTTTAGGTGCTGTGGAATCAACAAACATTGAGTAAGCTCCACTGCTGTGTGTTTTGCAGTACAGGGGTATGAGAGTTTTAACCTCAGCTCTGTTTCCTCAGGTATTTGTGTTTGTCATTATTACTGCTGGTTTAGTTAAGAATTTCAAAGTATTTTGTACTGTTGCAAAAACTGGCAAAAAAAGGAAACTGGAAATGGGATCTTCTGCCTGTTGATTGGAACAGTTTTTGTAAATGCCCTGACATCTCAACCAGAACACACCCGTTCTTTCTGGTGGGAGAGAGGGCACTAGGTATAGTTGCTATAGAATAACTATTTTATGTGGTGGAAATTTCTTATAATATAAGAGACTGATTGCTGGACCTTAATCCCAGCAGGTAGAAACATCAGGCCAGTATCACTGGTGAGATGCCTGCACCCCAGAAATGTAATTCTAACCCCGCTCAGCATTCGGTCTCTGACAACTACTTTTAACCAGAACCTTTTTCTCATCCTGAAGTACATGAATAAGGCTGCTGTCCTGTGCACACAAACGGAAAATCTTTCAGAAAGGATTTGTGAGAGCAGGACAGTGAAATACTGTGGTGGAAGTGCCTTCCTGAACCGCAGCATTGGCCACGGCAGGTACCCTGCTAGGAGGAAGCACAGATGCCCGTCACGTTGGTAAGGACAGCCACAGCGTCCCTGTGAACATGCTCAAGGCGACGGTCCTGCCCTGGCTGGCACAAGCTGTGTGAGCTAGCCGGTCTTCCCCAACGCCAACAGCCGTGCCCCATGACACTCCCCGTGTGCCCCCCCTTTTGGTGTCGT